AGAAATTTTTTATAAAACACCTTTCTTAAATTTAAAAAGTCTTCTCAGAGTGTGCGGACAATAGGAAAAAAAGCACTTTATTTTCCAGATTTGAGTATTCTGTAAAACAAAAAAATATTTTAAAAGTCTTATCTTCTATTAAATCCAAAAGTATATTTAGCAAACACTAAAATGTATGGGTATCCATATTTTATGGAAAGTTTGCAAAAGGAAAGCAAACTTGCTTTAATCAAATGTAACCTTAATTCCTTAAATCAGTGTCCTATACTTTTCACATTTCACAGTTCTCATCCCTTCTGCTACATCTGCGTAACTGCATTCTCAGACTGCTGAAAACAAGAAAAGTATCATGTGGAACTGGGCGTGAGATATTTTGGGGCTAAACAGAGGTACAGTTATAATTCTGCCTATTAAATCTCTCCAAGCATGACTGAACATGTTAAACACAAAACTGTTGACCAAAAAACTAGAGGAAGACAAACTTGGAGAAAGCCTGGTATCTTCCTCATTTTGTAAGCATACCTTTAAAAGAGGATATCCAGACTAAAAACAGGGTGTATATGTTGGGGTGTATATATTCAAATATATGTCTGGATTATAAACACATCTGAAAGAAAACTTTTACAGAATTTATCGAGAGATAGATTAGAGATAATACTTACTTTCTTCTCTTATTAGGTATTTTCTATTTTTTACTAAAAATATATGTAGTCATTGAAATATGAAAACAATGAAAACTAGTTTTAGTTCAAAAAAGCTTATAATATGTACTAATTTCCATAACTATAATTAATTTTTACTGTTAATTAGATAAAAGGAAAAAAGGTCAAATCTCTTCATAGTTATTTTATTAGAGAAGGAAATAATTGCAGATAATCCATAAAAATGAAATACTCTTATTTCATTAAAAAGCTATAGTAAAAATCCCAATAATGTTCAATGGCTTCTATCAATTAAAGATAGATATGCCCTAGAAATAAAAAGAAATAAAGCTTTCTTTAGGCTTTTCACATTGTAAAATAGAAACAAACTTGAAAGTAACACCACGTAACATTCCAGAATTGAAAAAAATCAACTGAAATGAAGAACAAAATTGATGAAAGCAGAGAAAACAAACTTAGGGATTCTCAAGAAAAGACTGCGTGACAGAGATGGCAGTGAGCCACTGTTGTGCTGGCGGCTGGAGAGGAGCGTGTGCACAGTGCCGGGCACTGCTGCATGGCCGGGCATTGCTGCATGGCCAGTCTGACTACCGGCCAGTCCGGCTACTGGCCAGTTTTGGGGTGTCTGCTCTTCCTCTGCCCAGAACACTGCCTGCACCTGCCACAGTGTTCTCCAACACACGGGCCAAAGCTTGATGATCACCAAGCCAGGGAGGCCTCCTTTCTCCTGGGCCCTACAAGGTTCTCTCTGCTCCAATGCCCTGTTTTATTTAATTGGTTTACGTGTTTACATCTATCTCCCCCAATTAGAAAACAGGCCGAGGGCGTGGGATTTGTCTGCCCATTCACCCTGTGTCAGCAGTGCCTGGTACACCAGCTGTTGACTATTTACTGACCACAACACTTACCATATGCTGCCTCCTGTTGTTTACCTTTTTATGTATAAATTAAAAGCAATGAAATTGAATGTGAATGATAAGAATTACATTTTCCAAGTCTTATTTTGAACACAGTTACTAAGGCTATTCTTCCACAAGTGATGTCTACATTGCCAGAGCCCCTACTCCTCTTTGAAAGGGTTGGCTACAAGCATCCTTTTGCTGCCAGGGTAATGCAGACAAGCCTGGGGCCCAGAGGTCAACTGCAAGTACAGAGTATAAACAAAACAGAATGGCAAGATACAAGTAAAATGACTAGAAAAGAGGGACCGGGGAGGGGAGATAATCAAAGTTATTTTTAAGGTCCCTGCGTCATTTGAGATTTTGAAAAATAAAGACTAATTTTAAAATTTATTAAATATGCAAAGAAAAATTTCTAGGGAAACCACGACAAGAATAGAAATACAGGGTATTACTTCCAAGTTACAGATAGAAAAAAGGAATTTAATAAACTTAAAAGGATACAAGAAAGAAAAAATAAATATAGAAGTTGGACAAACAAAAAGAAAAAAGGTGGCATAAAAAAATGCAAACAAATCATTAATCACAATAAATACAAAATAAAAGCCTGTGATAAGGGATTTAAGAAAACCCCAAACACCTAGCCATATGCTGTTTATTGGAGATTTTCATTCACCAGAAAGACAAAAGCAATTCTAAATCTGTAAGCCTCTAATAACATAGCCTCAAAATATATAAGGCTAGAATTGACAAAATGACAAGGGGAAATAGAAAAATCCAGTTTGAGATTTTTTTATACCCTCAGTAACTAAAAGTTAAGGAGATTAAAAAAAAGATTACATGTAGATGATATAAAAAAATTACAATTAACAAGGTCAATACAGTGGACATCTACAGAATAATTCATTCAAGAGAATATGTTTTTTAAGCACACATGGAATATTTATAATATTGACCATATATCAATCCACAACATAAGCAGTAACAAAAGTTACAGGTTATGAAGCTCTAGAAGCAATTTCCAGAAGAATCCTGAAAATGTTTTGTGTTGTGGAGTTCCGATAAAAATGTATTATTTCAGTAGTGTCTATCAACTTATTTTGGAAGTAGGAATACACTTTTTCCATAGAGAAACATATGCCACCCACAGTTCTCTAGCAAGCCTAAGCATGCATATTTGCTCCTCAGTGCACCTTAACTGCAGTGATTAAGAACCAGAGAATATGCTCCCATTCATTAAAATGTTTCTGCAAGTGAGTGTGGTGTGGTGTCAGGATAGGATCCATGGTAGCCTTAGTCGCAGAAGTAGTTCCTCCATGCCAGAGCTAGTCCATGAAGCCCACCTGCCTGAGATGGGCACTCCAGGAGACAGAAACTGAGAGAAGAAGAGAAATGTCTTCCTCTTCACTCTAAGTAAATCGATTTCCTCTTTCTCCTCATGTCTAAACTATATTCTCACATGACACCTGGCAATGTAAAAACAGAGATCAGGGTTGTACATGTGGGGATGGGATTGTAATAAAGGAGGCTCCTGGGGAGTGGGTGATGTTAAATAGAGGAAGTTGGCACAGGGTAGATGAGATGTGTGAAGGGGCTTGGGATAAAGATGAGCCATTCATCTTTAGGCTGAATGTGGACAAATTAGGAACTCCCTGAAAGACCATCATATCCCAATGAGTTAATTCTGGCATGACTGTTAAAGTCAAATGGATATGCTACTTCATAGTTATGCTTTGTTTATAGCCAATTACCCAGTGGGTCTTCTGTGACAACGATTATATCCCCAAAGCCCACCTGTGGCACTCCATATGTGCTTGCATGAGAACGGTGATGGTCTGCACATGCTTAGCTCCTCAAAGCAGGACAGGACCTTTGTAACCGGTCCATTCAGCGCACAATGAAGGAGGCCCTGCTACATCCCAGGCATGCTGTCCCAGGCACTAGGATATGGTGGCAAAGGGCCAAATGAGGCCCCTATTCTCACTGAGCTTAGCAAGAAGAGAAGTGATCAACAGAAGACAAATATTGGCAGAGATCTACACAGAATTAAAACAGGCTGAAGCAACAGCAAGTGACTGGTGACTTCTTGGTCCATACTGAGCAGACAAAGAAGGCCTCTCTGATGAGGGTGTTAAAGGTACAATGTGAGCAACAGAAGGGACTACCTGTGGAAGGATCGGGTAAAAGAGCATTCAAGCCGAGGACACAGCTCAGGTGGGAAGGAGCATGGCATGTGGGTGTGGCTGCCACGTGCTAGGAGAGGAGAGAAGAGAAGCTGGGCCATGTTTGCTAAGAGCCGCAAGCTGGGGCGAAACAGCAGTCCACAGGGTCAGCTTTAAAAAGTGAGGAAGGTCTATTAGCAGTGATTCTAATAACAGTAACAACAGCAACTGACATCTGTTTTATGCACTCCGTACAAGACTGTCCACTTGTGAGCAAGCAGCAGTGTAGATAGGGCAAGACCGGGTGACACTAGAGGAATAGAAAGGACGCTAAGCTCTGACACCTCCGATAGAGCCAGTGACAGCAGCTGGATTTACTCCAGGTAACTGCATGCGAGGAAACTACAGTGTGCACAGATTCCCCAAGAACAGACTACAGTTCCAGTTTTATGATGTAAGTAAATGAAAGAGATGTCACCCGTTAGAGAAACCTTTAGAGAAAGCAGGTTTATAAATAAAGATATTTCTTTCTCTTCAAAGTGGTTATACCCTTGAGCCTAAGCATTCTACACTGTTTTATTCCATGCTATGTTACAAAAGACTGTTACTCTAGAGTCATATTTTATCCATGGTTTGTTAGATTTTAATCACTCATTTACATGAAGACTTTCAACCATAGACATTAGAGGTATCTCTTCAAAAAATAACATTTTTTCAGATAGTTTAAATGGATTTATAAATGTTTATATTGTACATATCAGTCTTTAAATTAAACAGACATCTAATACTATCTATATTCCAAGCTCTAGTTGTATGGGTTATTGTTTTGAAAGACAGTTAATATTAGAAGTCTGACATACTCAATATTTCATCTAATTGACAGATACATTAGATCTTCTTTAAAATGTAGATAAGTTTAAAATATCAATGACTGTACACAGATCCATGGGCACTGCAAATGAGTCTATCGTTAGTCAACAAAAAATATTTTGTCAGATTCAAATTTATGTTTTATCAAGAAACATCTTCTAATTGTTGAAGATTATATTATCAATACATTCTTATGAGGAAAAGTATCAGATCTCTATATTATTCTAACAAAACTTATTATGCTCCCAGAAATAATATTTCTCAGGAGGATTCCTCAAGATTCATCAGAGTTTCTGGCTCCTTCCTCCTTAGCCTTGTTTGGATAATTTCCTTCACAATGAGAAAGATAAATTTCAATACAATCATACTTGAATAAACCAGACACTTGTTTTGATTCTTAAACCTACCTTACGGGAATGATGTAGGAAAAGAGAAGAAGGAACCGGAAAAGATTGCGGTACCACGGGCCTACAAATCCTTGCAAGGTTACCATAACAACTGAAAGAGCAACTAAAGCCACAAACAGAGCCTTTGTCAGCCGATTGAGTTCAAGGTCCAACAGTCCAACCTGAAAGAAAAAAACCACAAAATTAATACATTCACAAGCTAACCACAATGTTCCTGATATTATAAATTAGAATACATGATGATGATGATGATGACATAAGAAAACTTACTGTAATGAAATATAAAAACGTATTTACTTTTCTCCTGAAAAACCTCTCACGGATTAAGGCAGAATTTCTAAAAATGAGTCATGATCCCCAGAGCATTTCCAGAAAGGGGCTATTGACAAAACACGAGGCCAGCATATAAAACCACAATAAACTCAGATACTTTCTTTGGGTGGATGGTGTTATGATCACCTACAAGGACAAATTAAAACAGCAGGTCTGGAGAAGGTACTGGAAGCTTGCTCAGTTCCTAGCCCTAAAACAGAAAGTTCTTTCGAGAGCAAGCATGCATCTTCCTTGGCATGTGCTAGATCAGACCAATGCCCCTGTTATTGCTAAGTGTCTCTGAGCACACCCCACTTAAGGACTTAATTCAGATTGAGGGTCGCAAGAACAGGACAGGATTGTGTTATCCCTACCTACCCAGAGGCTCTCTGAAAGAATTTCTCTTGATGAAGAAAAAGCAACAGAGCAGTTAGCTTGTAATGAAAACCTTTTAAATTTGCACAAATCCTACATTGTAGGTTCTCCCAGTGTAGTGAATTGAATTATGTCCCCCCAGAACTCACTGGAGCTTGAACTGTGTTCCCCAAATTTTATGTATTAGAAACTTAGCCCCCACTGTGACTGTTAAGAGAGTGGGAGATCCTATTATGATAATCGAAAGATGGAGCCTTGAAGAGGTGACTGGATTGTAGGACCATGCAGTAGTGAATGGATTAAAAATGGTGGTCAGGGGCGTGGTTCTGAGGGCTTTAAAAGAAGAAGAGAGTCTGTCTCTCTTGCTCTCTCTGCTTCCACCATCTTGCAATGTGAGATTCCTGGGTCACTGTTGCCACTACCAGATGTGTTCCTTGGACTCTGGACTTCCCAGCCTCAGAAACTATAAGCAAATAAATTTCATTTGCTTTATAAATCACCTAGTTCTATATTATACTGTTATAAGCAACAGAAATGGACTAATACACCCAGTAAGGTGCACTACACTCAAATTCATTCTGTGGATCATTTACTAATTTAGCTTAGCTAAATGTGAGGAAAAATTATGTCAATAAGAACTATTTTTTTGTTGTGCTCTGCAAAGTATATTGGAAAACAGTAAGAACTGGCAACCCAAACAGCTCTCATTCTATAAGTTAAGAAAATAATAGCTCTTTTGAAGCATGTAACTTCAATTTTGAGCTCGAGCAATCTCTATGAACTGTTTTTCCTTGCTTAGTTTCATCCCTGAAAGACCACAATGCAATGTGGTGTGCAGGGTGGAGGAACAAGAAGGGAGTACTGGGGGCTGTAGGAAGGCCTCCACAACCAAGACAGAGCAAAAGTGATACGGAACAGCAATAAAGATTCCTCGGGACCCTGAATTTAGGCTAATTCAAATGCTGACTCTGCCACTTAGTTGTGCAACCTCGGGCAAGCTGAGCTTCAGTGTTCTTATCTGTAAAATAGGGATTATCACAGTGTCTTCGTATGGGCACTCTGGGGACGAAATGAGGTAGCACACAGCACAGTGGGCAAGGGTCCTACAATGCAGGAAGCCTGACACACATGCCGCTGCTCTTATTATTACAAATTTGGGTTGAATTCAGTTTCCCTGCTTAGTAATTGTGTGACTTAGGGGACTATCCTGAAATTCATTAAGCCTCATTTTCCTCATCTGTAAAATGGCATTAACCACCTAACTAGAGGTCCCTGGAGGAGCTCAGATGACGAGGGCTCACACAGTCTCCACAGCAAAAGGTCATTGCCATTGGCACCACTAGGCCATGGAACAGTGGATATGGAACTTAACTGTTTCTGATTTGTTTGACATCAACAGAGGACTAAATCCTATCAGGTTAGCCATTTATCTCCCACCTGAATTTCTCCTGAATCTGTTTTCAAAAGTTTTTCAACTTTTGAAAAAGAGTAATTAAAAAAGAAAACATGATTGCCAAAACCTCAATAAAAGTAAATGGGATACTGTAATTCTCAAATTAAAAGTTTAAAAATTACTGAGCTAATAAATAACTTGGGTTATCTTGTAGTGCCTTTTAAAAACCCACAGCTTTTCCATAACTTGTGTATTTAGTTTATACCTAGTTTTGATTGATATTTGCTGCAAACTCTCCTGAGACCATTAGAAGCTACAGTTAGAAAAAATTGCTGTCAGAAAGTCCATTAGGTGCAGCTGTGAAAAAAACTCAACTTCTTGAACAAATAAATTTAATGTCTACTACATTTTGTGCTTAACTTTAAGGTAATAAAAGAGTTAACTATGAGAGTTTTACCTGCAAGAAACAGCCAAGCTAGTAGGAAAAATAAGATAAATGTCAGTAATATATGTTATAAAAGATAATTATAAAATAGAAAGCTTTCTTCTCTCAACTACATTTTAAATCACTTCTCATAGCTAACAATCAGCATTTCTGTTGGTTAAAAACTTTATGGCCTTTCCAAACAGCGTGGACATAACGGGATGATGACAGGGTCCCAGAAGCAATATGACTCACGTATTTCTCAAGTGCAGGTTCTAAGCCCAAACCCAAACATAACGCAGGGCCTGCAGGTGGCTGGGAGGTAGGGCAGGCCCCCGGCACCCTGAGGCACACCTGCGGCGCAGCCTCACCTGGCCACCCTGTGTCTTGTCACTGCTACGTGAGACTCCTCAGTATGGAAAACTTAAACAAAAACTCAGTACCAGTGTTATGTGGAATATCTGCTCAGTTCTAACGCAACAATAAATGAGACGCTTGTCTCGCCAGCGAAACCCTTCTCTACCCTGTGGTGCAGCGCGGCCTGCGACAGCTCGTTTTCCACAAGAACTCTTCAAAGACTGCACGTTCCCAGCTTTACATCCTACCCTCAAAGTACGCCGTTCTCTAGTTCACAGCAGTGGGCCACCTTCTAGCCAAGTACAACGTGTGCGAAAGTTATGTCCACAGACACCCCTGAGAAGAAAAAGGAAAAGAAAAAGAACTTTTCTGAGCCCTGTCATGGGAACTCCTTTATGTCCAGGTCCCGCAGCAGGACCAGTGGCATGCACCATTTCCCTGGACGGCGGACAGTCTGGAAAGGAACTGCGTTTCAGCATTTCAGCAACTCTGAATGTTCCTGACGCCGCTGGCTGCATGGGCTGCACCTTCCCTTGGGCATGCAGCCACTGAGCACCTCAGCGGCTGACTTGTCAGCTCCACGTAAAGAGCAGCGCGACAGGGACAAATACCGTGCAATCTCTGCTGCTTCCACCACTACACAGTTTATGCCTGAACTACTGAGAAAAATAGGCTGTGGGATTAAAATGAAGAAAAATTAAGCCAGGGAAGCAGAGCATGTTTCAAAGCCCAGATCCTTTCGCTGTGACAAAGGCGTTCTGAGTTTCAGGCCTCACTGAGGATCAGATGAAGTCATTATTCATTCAGTCAGGGAAAAAAGACTCAATTACCTCAAACTAAAGATGCTATCAATGAATGCAAAGTGCATATTTTACTCTATTCATCCAAATCCCATTAAAAAGTGAAAGGAATGATTTAATCTGGCCTTCCAGAGTTGGTCTTTTTTTGTAATAAAATAAAGGATCACTGTCTTGCAAAATGCATAACCGCTACCTCACACTTTCCCCTGCATCACGGTGGCGAAAGACTGTAAAAGCCAGGACAAAAGCATTCAGAAATGAATGCAAAGCTTCCTCTGAAAATATGCCACACATAGGGTTGGAGCATTAAAAGGAGCCACTGCACACTGATATGCAGGTAATTCAAAGCACTGATAACTTCCTAACTGACGAGACAGATGGGGTGGATTGCTTGACTAGTGAATATAAGAGTTTGGAAGCCAACTAAATGTTGGTTTTTCCCACCTTCTTTTAATTAAAAAGCAATAAAAAGTTTTGTAAAGTAAAATACGACTTTGTAAGACTGGGTTGCTTCTTGCTTTCATTCAGGTAGCCTTTTCTGACCTATGACTATTCTTCAGGGAATATAATCACGAACAAACTATAGCATATAGTATAATCTTAATTTTTTTTTTTTTTGCCAATTTTAACAAAACACAGGAAGAGGATATTTCAACATTGTTTCTTTTTCTAAACCTGCTTTCAATGAATAGTTAATCTTTTTATATTCTACTTCTCTGCAACACCCTTAAAAGTTTCTTGAACTCATCTAAAATACAGTCTGGACTCTTAAAAGCTATTTTTAAAAAAACTAGTTAACTTACAAAGTTACAGATTCTAAATAGAAAGTGGTAACTTTAGTTTTGATGTGAATGTCTTCTTTCTTTAAAACATTTCTTAAATACCTGGACAGAACAGATACCTTTTCTATGACTGCAAAACCTTTTCACTCATAAAATATATTAACCACTTGAAGTAATTATGACTACAAGAAAAGGTAAATTAAGTACACTAGTAAGTAATTTTCAACATGTACTGTAATTTAATATATTAGTAAAGCAAATTTTCTTCCATTTGTCATAATATTTGTTCTATTTGAAACAACTGTGATAACAAAATTAAATACACTACTGGAAATTTTAATCTCCAAGGGAAAATTTGTGCATAATGTCTAAGACAGCCACAATGGTTCTGCAAAGGGGCTGTTCTAGGATAATGAACACAATAATTGGCTGTATCATCTAAAATGCTACTAATGGCAACGATCACAAATCCATTTAGCTCCTCTTTAATTTATGTACCAAGTTTCAAATAGCTAATGGTTCTCAGTAAAATAATGGTTTATACCAACAATAAAGGGTAAATACGGTATTCTCCTGCTTAATCAAGAAAAGATTAGTCAGGTTTTTGTTTCATTTTAAATGAACGCATGGACGAATGAGAAGTGGACCTTATCTCTGTAACACAGCACCATTACAATCCATTTCCAAGCTAAAGCTCCCATCATGCTACTAAGTTCCT